GTTATTGCGAATATGTAATTTGTTAAAGTGTTGTTGTGGAGGATATACAATTTGTTAAATTGTTGTTGTGGAGGATGTGTAATTTGTCTAGATGTTTTTGTTGAGTTACGTTCTATGTAAACTGTGAGTTGTTAGGGTGGGCTGATGTTTATGCAGGTTGTAGTTGTGGAGGTTCGGTTGGGGTGGTAGGAGTACCCGTATTTGATTCCCTTAGCTTGTGTTTAGACGTTTACTTGCTGAGTACCGTGTGGTTTGGTACTCACCCCTTGCTTCTACAAATTTTTGAAGGTTATGAGCCTGGATTTTTGTTGTACTTGTCATTCTCTTCTTTTCCGAGGCTTCTTGGAGATTTGTCAGGTAGCTGTTTCCATCGCAGCAGACTTTCTTTTCCTTAATTATGATCTTGTCTTATTCTAGAAACAAGTTCATTTCAGACTTGAGTTTTCTTTTGAATCAATTGTAATACTTTAGAGGCTTATACACGTGACTACCAGGTTTTTGGGGTTTTATTAAGTTACTTATATTTTACTTCCGCACTTTATTGTAATGGTTGAGTTTTAGGCTGACTTGTCTTGGTGGGATAAGACGAGTGCAATCACGCCCATTTTTGGGTCGTGACATAACTCATATTCAAGACAATCTAATTCTAATTTTAACATAGATATATTTTTTCTTTCTGTTAGTATTGATTTATTACATACTTCTTCTAATATATTTTCTTCTAACCATCTTTTTCTATGTTGTAATTCTTGTTCTTTTTCAGCTATTTTTTCCGTTATTTTTTCTATTAATTGTTGTTTATAAATTTCTTTGTTCATACTGTTTCTTCAAATAGTAAACATATTTGTATTCTGTTTTTGAAATTATATTTATCAATTGATCTTTTTTATCATTATCTGTTTGACTAGTTGCGATAGTTCATATTCTATATACAAGGGTCTTAATTTTTTCCATATTTTTCTTACCTTTTTATCTATCTTGGTTCTTTTTATTTTAGTGTTTTTATTTTTATCCATCATAATTTTTTATATAATATTTTAAAAAGCTTACTTAATTTATCTAGATATTTAATCTTTTTTAACCTGTAATTTCTACCATATCGCCTTAGCCAATATTAAGTCATATTTAATCTCCAATATCTAAATCATCATATAAATCATACATATCATAATAAAGTTCATCCCATATACTTTGTATGGTTAACTCAGTCCAACCTTGGGTTGTTATTTCTATTATCTCATATGTTACCAATTTGTCATAAATTTCTCTTTTTATATCAGTACTCAGATCTTTTAATATAAAGAGTAGTAATATCTTATAGTTATCATCATCATCTATTAAATAGGTACTCATTTTATTCATTTTTGCTAAAATTTTTATTCCTTCCAAGCTATTAATGGATTATACTTAGTCACTACTACAGCTTTCTTATTTAATTAGTTACCCTAACAGCGCCTCAACTTTGTTCACTCCCCTAAACGGCCTTCTTGCCTACCGGTTTCAACATTAGGAAGACATAGTCTGGGCATACTTACTAGAAGAATATTTCTGTAGCAAACCTTCTAAAGATGCTTATTAGAGCATTATTAAGTCATGATAAACAATTATAATCAACAAGAGATTTTCAGGAATAAATTTATTTAGCTACAAATAAATTTAAGAGTGTATACCTTATTTTGTAGATTTGTAGCTTCATATTTCTCCATAGTTATTAGCTTAGTTAGTTAGCTAGCTAGCTCTGATACCAATTTTTGGGTGGAAGCTTTAAAAGAGGAATATTGTAGAGAGAAGAGAGTAGTGGAAGACTGATATTTTATTTATGAAGGCAAATGCCTCTTATATACATACATAATGACCTTTAATCTTTGCTAAAAGACGATTGGCCTTTACTATTTACACAGTTACTTGACCTTTACTATTTACACAGTAACTTGACTCTTCTTATTCATGATTAGGACCTACTGACACTATTTACTTGAGATCTCAACATGGGATTTTGTTGAATCAAAGGAAATATGCACTGGAGTTTATATCAGATGTAGGGCTAGAAAGATCTAAACATGTACAAACACCACTAGAGCCTAATGTTAAACTTACCTCAGTGGAGCATTATAACTGTACAGGAGCCAAGAATGATACATTGTTTGAAGACATGAGCAGATATCAAAAGCTTATAGGGAAATTGATTTACTTAACAATAACTAGGCCAAATATTTGTTTTGTTGTTCAATTGCTTAGTCAGTTCATGCAACATCCTAAACAATCACATTGGATGGATGCATTGAGGGTGGTAAGATATGTAAAAGAGTCACCAGGATTGGGAATATTTCTAAAGAAAGGTCCTATAGATGACTTGGTAGTACATTGTGATTCAGATTGGGCTGCTTGTCTCAATACAAGAAGATCAGTCATAGGTTTTGTCTTGCAATTGGGGAATTCATTGATTTCTTGAAACTCTAAGAAGCAACAAACAGTAAGTCGCAGTTCATCCGAAGAAGAATATCGCAGTATGGCTGCTGCAGTTGCTGAAGTTATTTGGATAGTTGGACTGTTGAAGGACTTATGTGTGGAAGTGTCAACTCTTGTACAACTCTATTGTGATAGCAAAACAGCTATGCAGATTACTGCAAATTCGATATTTCATGAACGTACAAAACACATCGAGATTGATTGTCATTTTGTTCGGGAAAACCTAAAGGAAGGACTTATACATCCAGTTCATGTGTCAACCCAGTTCCAGCTTGCAGACTTATTAACAAAAGGATTTGGAGTAGCTTAACATAGTTTCTTATTATTCAAGCTGGGAGTTCTTGATATATTTCACCCTCCAGCTTGAGGGGGAGTATTAAAACTAAATGAATTAGTTAGTTAGTATGGTTGTTAGTGGAGTTGGTGAGCTGTCACTGAGTGGTCCCAATTGAGTTAGTTAGAAACTAATTAGTTGACAGCTATATATATAGTAGAGTGGTGTGCATTGTATGAGCAGTTTTTTTCAGAAAACAACAATAAAGAAAATACTCTTCTTCCTTCATACTCTTCCTTCAAAAGATGATCTGTATGCATCTGGGCAGTATAATTTCTGCCATAGGAAACTGAATTGAGCTAATTTTTACAATAACTTTTGTTGAAAAGAAATAAAAGGTTTTTATATTAAATTTGGAAAAAAGATTCATCCAAATGGTTGAAAGACAAATTTAATATTTTAAAAAGAAATATTTATATTTAACTTTTTGGAAATAACTTTGAGTTATTATCGTTCAAAGCATATACAATTGACTTGATATAAAGAAAAAATGTTGGAAGAATGCAGATATTAAGCGCCACCATCCGAATAAGATTTTAATTGGCGCGAATTAGAGTTGATTGAAATTTTTCATGTGGATATTAAACGCTAGTTGATATTTATTTTAAATAAACAATAATTGAAGGAACATATTTATATATCATCGTTCTTTTGCCACAATATACTGCATAGTAATAATGGATGGGCTTAACATAGTACAACCGAAGAAATCAATTATTACAATAGCTATGAAATTACAATTAATACTCTAAATGTTATGACAATATTTACCACGGTTTCTCAAGTAAATGTATTATTGACCAAATCTTATTAATTAAATGGTTGTATGTGTATGTAATATGTAATGTATTGATACTATATAGATAGTGTAAGATTGTATGTATGTATGATGTATTACGACATATAAAATATGTATAAGTAATCGCAAACCCAATTATATAATATTAATGCATTACAACACATCTTCCTCAAGAGTTGAATATTTTTCCAATATGATCTAGCTCAAATTTGCTCTAAATAGTCCTAAATTATAGATATAAATTATTTTTCGACGATTCAATTCTATTAATTAGCAATAATAAATTCACATTTATGGAATATCAATTTTAAATTTTGAGGCTTGAAATTTTCTAAGGAAAATTTTCAATGGACATTCTATTGACTTCTGAATGACAAGATAGAGATACTCGATAATTAACTGAAAATCAGGTTATTTTCTATTACAACAGTTGACCAAATGGCCATTCTACTTAGTTATTCAAATTTACTATATCTAGTAAAAACATATAATTTGAACTAAAATATTAAATAATGAAATTTGAATTGCAATACAATTTTTTTGTGAAAAGATAATAGTTTATTACTTTTGAGTTTCACTTCTAAATTGTAAGATCTAAATAGTCTCTCTACTTAGATTGATCACCTTGGAAGGACAGTTATCATACAAAATAATAATATGATTGTGTTACTTTCTTCTTCTCATATTAGTAATTACACTTTTACCTTTCCATGTTTTCTTTAAAAAAATCATAAACAAGAAAGTTAGTCCTACTAATTTACCCTTTACGAAATTTGTGCTTCAAACATTATAAACTTATTTACACTTTCAAAAAGAATTATTGTAATAGTAAATGGGGAAAATGTAGTTTATTTATCTCAATCAATAATTTAGGAAAACTATTTTTAATAAAGTAGATAACTATATGGAACTGGGGACCGGGGAAGTACTAGATTAATAATTATTTTAGTTTTTCGATTACTTTTGTTAAAAATGTAGTCAAACACAACGATATGAATAATCTTCTAATAGATGATTAAAAGAATAATGAATTCAAAGCGTTCCCCCATAAGTTTTAATTAAATTCTTTATCGTAATAATCTAAGACAATTTATGTAGATTTTTCAAAGCAAGTAGATCATGTCTTCAGAATAACTCATAAGTCTCAAAGACTAGAGATGACAAGGAATTCAAACTTGAAGAGTCTATAGGTATGAGGTCACAAGTCATTAGAAAAATAATAAAACATGTGCATTTCTGATGTCATTCCCCTATGTAATATTGATGCAAAAAATTATGTCAAAATGGTTGAATATTGGAAGAAATACTCGGAGGAAGGTGTATCGAAAGAAGTATTGATGGATTTTGATAATAATTTCGTGAAGGTGGATTACTTGGTATTGGATTGTCTTCTCTTAGTTACTGATTTTCTTAACGATATGAGATGCTGGATGTACTGTGCCAAGAAGTTGTAGATAGAATCAAAGGTAAAACCCTAGACAAAATACGTAAAGAATTTTGTATCAAAAATGATTTTACTCCCGAGGACCAAGAGGAGAACCGTTAAGAGAATGCTTGGGCTTTTAATGCTTTTATAATTCTAGTGTTTTTTTGAATTTTGTTCTCTTTTTTAAAAATCTGATCTTTTAAGATAGCGATATCTCATATTATTTAGTTCTATCTTCTGTTTTTTTTTAAAAAAAAATAGAATTGTTAATTGTTTTTATTGATTCATAAATTATAGTGGAAATAAACTAAAATTTTTTACATTAAATTTGAAAAAGGAAAACAATCATTCAACTGGTTGAAAGAAAATTTGATATCTCAACAAGAAATAACTCCAAATTTATAAATATTTAAATATAAAATATTTATGTTAGTAACACACATTTGTGGGAGAAGAGTTGGACTGAGCATAACGATTACTAATGTTAAATACAGAACCCAAGCCATAGGTTCATTTTATTTATTATCACTATAGTTAGTCTTAAAAATGTTGAGCATCTATCAGAAACATCTCCCTATCTCTCAAAGATAGGGACAAAGTCTAAATAAATCTTATCCTCTTCAATTGCACTTGTCGAATAAGTATTGTTAGTCTTGAAAAATACATCAAGGAAATCAATTATAGTGTTAATTTCCCACATATTTAGGGTAAAGAAATAGTGGAAGCTTAAATTTGTGTTAAAAACTTTTCGAACACCATGGTTAGATGTTATAGAAAAATAACTTTTCTCGTAATTGACATTTCGAAGAAAAAAATGAAAGTACTTCCTTTTTCTAATCTTATTCGATCGCATACATATGATTTAAGTATATTTTCATAATTTGAGTATCTGGCATTATCTGAAAGGGGAAAAACCTGTATATATAAAATTAAGAAGAATTGTACTGGACTAGCCGATAGCCATAATGTTATAAGCTATCCAGAATATGGCTGAAGACGATTCTGTTTTAAACATCATTCCCTTGCCTAATGTCCATAGAAAAACAATGACCAAAGTTGTCATTGCCGCCATTTACACCCAGGAAGTGGCAAACATTCATGAACCATTGTTGGTCCCCAAGCTAATCCTTATCCTGGCTGACTATAAAAGGAAGACTAACTTAAGCATGCAAAATCAGAATAGTTTAATAAAAATAAAACTCAAAACAAAGCTTCAACTTACAAATTTAACTATAAATAAAAATAATATATTAAACTCGCCAAAGAATAAGCAACTTAAGTCTTTAAAATATTAGATAAAATACATGATACAGACTTCTCAACTATATTTACTATCTATGAAGCCTCTAATTGATAAAGATGGAAATCGTGACAAGACCCACGACATCCTAACAATTGATATAATAGAAAGGTAAATGAAATCCTCTATAAATAAGTGTAACATCTCGTAACTTGAATTAAATAAGAATTGTGGATAATATTCTTTTTCTTTTAATGCAAAGGATAAGTTACATCTTAAACTCTCCTTAATTAATCTATGTTAACATTGTTAAGTCGTTACTATATGTGAAATAGGAAAATTTATTTCCTCATTAATGTTTCACATTTATCTCAAGTGTTAGTTTATTATCTTCGTAAAAAAATATTCAGATAACTTCAAGTTACTTTCTTATTATGACAAATTGTTAATAAAGTAAGAGTTATGTTTCACTACATTGAATATACATTAGTTTCTTACATTCTTTTGACGGATGAAACGTAAATTATTTTCCTATTGAAGGAGTATCATTTCGGATCTAAATACGGAGAAGAAAAAACAAGTCCTATCTTTCATTTACTCTTACTCAATAATTTCTTTTTATTTGCTTGAATAATCCTTCTTCCTATTATGGATTCAATAATTTCTTTCCAACACTAAACATTCAGCCACGAGCGCACGTGTTTAAGAGTAACTATGGAACCTTAGGGAGCGAACAAATACTACGATTTGCACCGAAGTCGAGCCGGAACCGCTTTCAGGGCAGTGGCTTACAACGACATAGTGTTTGTGATAAGTTATTTATTAATTTATAATTCAAACCTAATATCAATATTGTAGTATTTTTATGAACAATTTGAAAGCAGTTTTCTATCATAAAATACTGATAAGTGACTATTTCTATGAACAAAACATTTAATGATTCGAAAAAACTTGAGCCTTTCGATGGAAATAATTTTAAAGGATGGTCACAAAAACTTTTAATTTTCTTTGAAAAATTAGAAGTTGATTATTTTTTATTTAAATAACCTTCTATGAACTGTTCTAACCAAGGTGACTCTACAGGGTTTTGTGGATGCTTATCTTAGTTGGGATGTTGACTCGAGCAAGAGTACATCCGGGTACATTTAGACCATAGGTGGAACAGCAGTGAGTTGGATGTCCAG